GAGAGAGAGAGAGAGAGGTGGGTTGTTGGACAATGTTGGATTCGGCAGGAACATTTCTATTTATGTGAAATTCCAATCAGGAAAAGATTGTTACACTGCCGAGCAGAGAGAGAGAGGTGGGTTGTTGGAAAATGTTGGATTCAGAAGGAATAGTTTTATTCATTTGAAATCCGAGCAGAGGCAATATGATGGTGTCTCTGTGTACGGTAAATCTCGATGTTTGTGAGTCGTCAATTCAATTATCCATAGTTATTGTTGCAGCAGATATTGTGGCATGAGATAGGACTGTAAAGTGGGACCAGGATCGTAGTTTGGTTCATCTTTTGGAGAGTGAGGGTGCCTAGGTGTTCTTCTGATTTGATGTTACAGGTTATTTACTTTTATGGGAGCTAATGTACTATTTTGATTGTTTTCTTGGAGGCAAATTTGTATTTGAAAAGTTTATAAAGATTTGGAGCCCAAAAAAATTTATACATCTTATAACTTCATTGGGATGTCTATTTTTAAGATTTTCGTGTGTTTATGTATTTGTTTGAACTGCACTATTTTTATAAATTTAAATAGGGTGTGGTTTGTATAAATTTAAATAGGGTGTGGTTTGTATAGAGCCGAGGCTCTAAGCAATCAAAGTAAAGCCCACATTCAAATATTATCGAGAAATGTGGTTTCAATATTGGAAATCTTTGTGATAGCCTTAAAATATATTTTCATCTTTAATAATAAAATTTAAAAGCTTCAAAAATAGTGTAGATCAAGCAAGTTTATAAAAATTTGAAAATCTAGAAAATTGATTGTTCAAAAATGCGTTACAAGATGCACTATTTCCAAAACTTGAAATCCATTTTCTTCTCATGTCCATGCATATTGATGTCGAGATGATCAATTTGAGGATAGTTGGGCATCAAAACCACCTCTTCTAGTGAAACTTTTGAGGTGGGCTCTAATTTGATGGTTTAAAGCTTCGGCTCTTATATAATTTTTTTCCTTTTAAATATAGATTTTTGCTTTTAAATATGGTTCAGCACCTACATGTTTTGGCAATGTTTGGAAGTGTGCCTTTGATTGCTTGAGGCTGATGTCTCATGTAACTACACCCATTTCCATTTGCTACATGAGAAGGATATGAGTTTAGTGCAAATAGCATGCCCCCCCCCCCCCCCCAATATTGGAAAATATTGCTTATGTAGATTGGGTGAATCGGAATTGTTCCTTGGTCAAATTTCGATTTTTAAACACCGATAGGAACTATTTCTTTAGGGGAAAGTATAGAATGAGACCCTTCACTTTTGGTTCTAGGTGAGACATTAATTTTGACCATTGGATGTGAAATTGGGTGGCTGGAATTATTCCATTGGCCAATCTCAAACTTCAAAAGAAGTTTTGTTGAACTTTGTGACACAGCCAAGAACCACCTTGTATTAAAGGTAAATGGTCTCATTATATACATTTTTTTTTTTCAAATGAGTAATTCATCCTTTCTTTGTTGTTTGCATTATATTGTTTCAGACAAGATTTAGTATGGATTACTTTTCCTAAAGCTTGCTTGTCATATGTTTTTTGTAGTATTGATTGAAAATTATCATCATTAATGTGATCGTAATGTTTTTGTAGTATTGATTGAAAATTATCATCATTAATGTGATCGTAATGTTGATAGCAAAATGATCATTTCTATTAAGTTTTTATTGATGTGATTACGATTCAATTGCGTAATGGATGAACTATTGGGAAAATATAGTCACAGTACGTTCTATGGTTTATGGGTTTATCCCCATCAAATCAAACGGTTAGGGTGTTTTTAATGAATGTGAAATCCCAAAAGTGTGATTCACCGTGTGATTCACTTCCTCTGTAGCAGCCTCTCGTGCTTTACATGTAAATATTCTCTCTCCCTTAAATCTCACAAACATTTTATTGTATAAACCAGTGTTTGCAAAATCGAAAAGGAACAGTTAAACGGTCCAATCGATTTAATTGCTATAAGTGGGCAAGTCCCGGATGACAAAAAAAGTGTTGAAAAAAATAAAAAAAGACAAAAAAACTATTAAAATATGAAAATCATATAAAGAATGATTAAAACAAAACATACTCAAATGAAGCTGAAAATTGATGGAAAAAAAAGATTTTAACGAATCGATTTTTATTTAAAGGTATGTTTAAATTTTTTTGACAAATATGGGAAAATATAAAACTGATTATTAATGACCAAACCGATTTTTAATTTTTACCATAATGTAAAGAATATTAAAACAATGTTAAAAAAATCGACTTGAGCAACTCTTTTTTTTTTTAAAAAAATCAATAAAAAAAAAATCAAGAAAAAATTAAATTACATATAATATAGGCCTTTTTTTTGTCAACCAAGTAATAAATGGTGTATTGGTTAGCACCTAATATTAAATGATCCCTTTATAAGAGGTTTTTATATTAAAGGACCTTAGAATCATGAATGATATCATACTTAATCATCAAATCTAACCAGTAAACCATTCTAATATATCTAATATAAATTTGAAGTAGTATTTTATTTAAAGTTTAAAACATCGGTTGATCATCAAAACTGCCCAAAACTAGAACCGGCCAGTTCCAATCTAACTGATATGTCAGCGATTAGGTCGGCTGGTTTTGCATCGGTACAAACACAAAAAATGGAAGCGTGTGCGCTCCAAAATCCCATGAAGAATGACTCATGTCAACTCCAACATGCTGGAGTGTGATGTTGTGATTATACTGGCCATAGGTTCCATTGTTCAAAGGGTAGGTCCCACTAAGATGTCCACATAGGATATGAGAATAAAAAAACTCTACATCTTTTGGCAGTTAAAGTTGGGGCCCACTGATGTGGACACTAAGGACTGACATTCCCCTCTTTTGAAGTGCTTTAAAAATTGGTGATCCGTTATGAGATTGGGCGATTTGAATTGGGAATCGTATTGGGCGATTTGAATTGGGAATCGCCGTGATTATCATGGATCCAGTAAAAAAGTCATGATTCGGTCGATCTAGAATGGTAGACTCTCTAATTTTTTCGAGGAACCGTCAATTCCGATGATTCTTCATCGAGTTCGACCAACTCTTCATTGAGTTAAGCGAAAAAAAATGGATGAACAATTTTTCTGGAGTTATGTTTTAAACAATTTTGGTACAAAAATTACCGATTCCATCGATTCTTTCGATCCGATCTACCGATTCCCCTGATCCAATAGGGGTATGGGTGTGACTGATTCGAGTCACCGATCCGTTCTTTTAAACATTGTTTTAACTTATATTTTTCCTACGAAAATCTGACCCGGTAGTTAACGCTGGGTCCACGAGCACGGTGATGAAGAATTTTTTTTTTTAAAACTGTGTCTATTCAATGAGACTCTTACAACTACTTATTTTAAAATGGGAAATATAGAATGAGACCATTTACTTTTGGTACAAGGTGAGACATTAATCTTGACCATTGGATGTGAAATTGGGTGGCTATTCCATTGACCAAGCTCAAACTTCAAAAGAAATTTTTTCGAACTTTGTGACACATTCAAGCTATCAAACTTCACATCGAATGGTTGTAAGTAATTGTGACCACCTTGTATCAAAAGGTAAATAGTCTCATTATATACAATCCTTTTTAAAATTGGGATTATCTACAAAGAGACTATTTATCTTTTGTATAGAGAGGTCCTATACATTCTTATACTTTAAATTTCAAAATCGGTGGTTGTAAGAGTGTAATTGAATAAACACAATGTTCCAAAAAAAAAAATGTCGGACTCTATGACTTACCCCAAGCTATCTAATTTGATATCTAATGATTGTAATTTCTATGTATAAAAGATAAATGGTTTTTTTCTTGACAATCCTTTTTAAATAGGAAAAGTATATAAGAGACTATTTACATATGGTATAAGGTAGTCACAATTAATCGTGACCATTAAATGTGAAATTGGATAGATGCATTTATTCCATTGACCAAAGCTCAAACTTCAAAAGAATTTTTTTTGAATTTTATGAGACCTCCAAGCGATCAGATTTTATATCGGATAGTTAGAAGGACTTGTGACCTCCTTGTATAAAAGGTAAATAGCCTCATTTTATGTAATCCTTTTTTTTTAAAAAATTATTTTAGGATACACATGCATGTGAGTATTTATTAAATATACTCAAATTTTAAACACTAATTACCCTTGCTCTATAGTGTAAATTTGTTTTAACAATGATATTTTTCATCATTAGGAGTAAGATAGATATTGCTATAAGAATTTAGTGGCGTTTAATGTTTTATGGGGTTGATGTCATACTCCATGGGATGATATGATTGTCCATTATAATTAAGAGTAATGATACTATGAGATCCTCCCACACCCATATGAGTAGGACCCCAAAATATCACCATTAAGTTTTGATACAAATCTCTAGAAAAATTATCAAAAAACCCATTCACCCAAGTCTCACACCCATCTGATAACTTTTCTAGATATTTGTGTCAAAATTTAATGGTCATCATTTGGGGTCTTACTCACATGGGTCTGGGAGGGTCTCATAGTGTAATTACTCTATACTTAATAATTGCTATTCTTTTTATCGTAAATTTCTATTTTACCTTAATAATTACCTAAAATACCTCTAGACAAAAAGTTACTATATT